CATGGTTACTGTATCACCCAATGGTTCCATGGTTACTGTATCACCCAATGGTGATACATGCACCCAATAGACCATCAATTATACTTACGTTTTTTTAAGGTATGTACATGCTATTGATTTCTGTCTTGGGGGTTTAAAATAACTAGAAAATATTTATTCTTGACATGTCCGTTAGTATAGATTATCAATGTAGTGAGCAGCATCTCTGTGCATTTTTCTGTTTGTGTGTGCGAGAGAGAGTGTGCTTGTTACTATCAGTGTGTCAGTGGGTGTAAAACTATTCAGAGCAGCATGAATAGTGTATTCAAGTTGCACTATGCATTCCACATATGTGACAACAAACTTTGCAAGAGGAATATTTCAAAGACCAGCCTTGTGACACATGAACGTTATTCTCCATGCTGCACAGGTGGTTTGACATAATTCACTGAAATGGCTGAAGCGCTTAGTAAGTTTGCATTTTGAATAATATTCAACATTCATTTGACAAACTAACTTTACGCCGGTGCATTTATTTTCATTAAAAACAAAAGAGCGTGTTGAGGTTTACAAGGTATTAATTTTAAGGCATTAACGTTGACAGCAATAGTAAAAAATATTACTATCCTCAATGTGTAAGACGAAAAAAATACAAAAGTTAATAAAACAAAAACTGCCTGATTTCTTTCCAAATATAACTATCATGCCCAGAATGACATGGTAGACAGTCTACAACCCAGAGGTAACCAATAACCGAATTTAACACAGATTCAATGTGCACTGAAGGACTTAAAAGAAATTGGCCTTTATTTTTAATGTATACCTTCACCAGAGTTTACTGGACAGGATACTTGTGTGTGTATTTACTGTGTGCAGATAGAAGGTGTGGTCATGCGTTACCAAGGAAAGTTAGATCCCACAGAGTCTGTAGGTTACAATTTCTCACATATTTTTGAAAACGTAAAACACGTCCACAATGAAGGTTTAATTTTTTGGGGGAAAAAAAATGCATAAAATTGTAGCCTACTTGTTTTTAAATATGTTTCGGCCTGCACATGTACCCACAAATTACATTTTAAGATTTTTTACTAGTTCCATCAAACCTCGCGGGTTACAGGACAACTCACACATGTAAAGCACCTTGGGGCTACTCTGCTGTGTATATAAAAATAAAATGAATTGAAACAAAGAACATCCATTTCCCACGACAGATTTATTGTCTAAAGTAAACATATTTACACAGTGCATGATGTTTAACACTGAACACAAATCCCTTTTGGGCATTTTACACATTGATGGTGAGATGAGTCCTACTACAATGGTACCAACTAGGTGAGATTTGTGCTGTTCATCTTCATGACCAGTAGAGGGCGAAGACAGGTGGGTCTATTTGAAACTCCCTCTGCTGCAATTGAACCTAGCTTCACAATGCATGCTACGGTCTCCAGGGTGGAACTAAAATATAAGCAGAGAAATGATGACCCCCCCCCCCCTTGAGCAGTAAAGTAATCACACTGTGTTTCTGCAAGCACTCTCACCTCATCCGGGGCATGTTGCATTAAATTATTTGCAGCTGAATTTGTAGTAGACCAGCCCTGATTGGGCCTATCCTATATCTCTGGACACGAAAACAAAAACCACAGCAATCTCTGCAGCCATTTTCAAATAAACCTCTACTGGCTTACAGTCCAAAATTTACTGAAATGCTATAGTTTGCGTACTTCCGGCTAATTGCCGGTTTCCGCAGCATTTAGCGCGTCCAGGCTAAAATGCAGATCGACGTGACGTAAACAAGCACACGTTTATAGACGTTTTCTTAGTCCCGCTTTGTACTTTCCTGAAGGAGAGGCATTTTGTCCTGACAGGCTATTTGGGTGATATGTGTCCAGCAAAACGAGACGTGAAACATGTACAGGGCTGAGCGACAGACATCTGTTCATAAACGAGAGGGTGGAGCTTGTAGGAAATGCAGGATCACACACACACACGCGGTTTGTGATGAAAGTTGCCTCCCGCAATACACATGGCTGGAAGACGGTATGAAAAGAAGGAGACGTCAGAATTTGTGCTGCATGCAGAAGTCTGTTTCTCCAGATGAAAATGGGCTTCCCTCTCTCATGCAGCATGCCTTCGCAATCTGTGACCTCAAAGCCACTTCCGAGGTTTATTTATAAACAGCTAAAATGCTTGTTGATGGGTAAGCAGATGGAATAATGAGTTTCTGTCAGCAGATCCTGTGGTCAGGGTTCGGGTTAAGGTTAGGATGAATGAATGATGGGTTTGAAGAGCCAGCAGTTGGGCAATCTTTAGACAATAGTTAAAAATCAGCCCTACATTCCCTAAAGCAGTGGTTCTCAAACTTTTTCAGCAGGAGGCCCCCTTGTGTAGGGT